GGCGACATTAAATCCATCCATACAGTGAAGAGTCAAGACAATATGGAAACAGAATTGTAGAGAGAGAAAAAAAAGAGTTTGTAGGGCATTTTTAGAAAAAGCTAGGAACAGCTTTGTGGAATCTGAAAAATGATATAAAAGGTAAAAAAAGATCAGCGATGGCAAGGGAATAGGAGGTGCTGACAGACTCACTGATAAGGTTATCGATAGCCTCCAGAATAGGTATGGGAGAACTATACGCTAAAACAAAGGCGATCTGGAAGGAATGAGGAATGTAATTTGGGCAACTTGGTACCATAAAATATCAACCAACATCAAACCTCAGCGTCACTTGTGTTCTAATGGTGAAGATTCTTGATGTTTGTTTGTTTGTTTTGAATTTCGCGCAAAGCTACACGAGGGCTATCTGCGCTAGCCGTCCCTAATTTAGCAGTGTAAGACTAGAGGGAAGGCAGCTAGTCATCACCACCCACCGCCAACTCTTGGGCTAATCTTTACCACCGAATAGTGGGATTGACCGTCACATTATAACGCCCCCACGGCTGAAAGGGCGAGCATGTTTAGCGGGACGGGGATTCGAACCCGCGACCCTCAGATTGCGAGTCGAGCCCCCTTACCACTTGGCCATGCCGGGCCTGATTCTTGATGTAAATTATAAAAAGCTACAGCCACCAGCTCAGAATATTCACACAAACACTCCATGCCAGAAAATGTCAAGAAAGCCATCTAGACCATCTATGAAAGGTTATCCAGTTATTAGCTCCCGACAAAATGCTTATATTGCATTACTCAGAGTAATATGAAATTGTTGCCCTAAGGACACCTTTGTGAGTGCAAAACAGTGCTGACGCTATTGATACTTTCATTGATGGAATGCAGTCAAAGAAGAAGGTACTTGAGCTGCTTAACATCAATGACAGAAGTTTTACCAACAAAGTATTTGTTAATGCAGCGAAGAGGAGGATCTTTGAATCACAAAACAAAGTTTGCATGTGAGGTGTAAAACAGCGATAGATAAGAAAAAACGTCAAAAGGGGACTTGAAGAGTCCAAGAAAGATACGGAAGGTGAAACTTATGTTCCAGGAGCTTATTAATACCCAGAAATATAGTAAGGGTGTGAGTTTCACAATTTTCAGAGTGTGGTGTACCTTTTTCAACTAGACCCTTAAAGTGACAATTTTGCGCCAAACTTTTCAAACCCGTTTTTCTCAAAATCTGAAAACGAACATTCTCATAGTGGTTTTTAACTCATAACTTCATTCCCGTTGCCGTTATAGACATCAAAATTGGCATAGGTTTGCATTATTAGTGTATTTAAGGTAAAGTTGATAAGTGGTTTGGTTTTTATTAAATGACCATTAATGAGTCACTGTTACACATATCCTACTTAGGGCATACCAATAGTGTCGTAATTTGACATTGAATTAGTTTTAAGCGTTTTCCTTAGTTCATACTAATTCTTCACATCCCACCAAAGTTTGGACCCATTTCTAGGAGCATTCAGTCATGTTTGTAGAAGTTGTCAGGAACATAAGAAATTTCTTTTGTCTTTCTTGATTTTTATAATATGCAAATTAGCCACAGTGGTAATATTACACAACACATACCAGAATATGCCTTTGTACTCATTTCAATATATTTTCATAAAAAAAAGCATAGTATGAAGATGGGTTTTTTTTTCTGATAAAAAGACCAAAACCTAGATAACACTATGTGAAAAGTATATGCTACCTTAATTTGAATAATGTTGCAAGCTCTTAAGCTGCAATTTCCCCCATAAAATTATCCAATAGTATTTTAAATGTTTTCAATTCTATATTAAACAGTCCAAAACGAGCAAAATAGCCCCCAGTGGCACAGCGTTATGTCTGCAGAC